AGTTTAGGGACTACAGCTGTTTGAAAGGTTTTCTTCCATAAAATTAATCGATTCTAGACTAATTCGACTTAACATTTCCAAAATACGTATAATTTCTTGGGAATAATCCGTATAAATTATGCTATAAACAGAAAAATGTAGGATTACTTACCGAGTGTGCACCGTTCGACGTCGCCATTGCTTAAGCTTGTTTTCGTCGCGGAGCAGCGCACCAAACGGCGGCTGCGATTTCTGATGTTATTTTTCTGCGAAAAATTCGTTGAACTTTAGAGACATCATTAACGTAAGCTAACAAATACGAATTTTTTAAAAAAATAATAAAAAGTATACGCAGATAAATAATATACCAAATAAAAGTACACATACTTCCATATTAGAATTTTTTGTTTTTATATTTTTATTACTAAAATTCGATTTTATACGAATTTTTTACATAATATTACTAAATTTCCCTCAATGACCTTCGTATTTACCCGAGTGAACCTACGCCTGTATGGTTCGGCATTCCGGGAGGTTAAAAGGGTTAATAAAATTTCATAAATAATGGATGCTGAGAAAACATATAAAGATAGTTCACAAAGCCCATTTAAATGGTTAGATAAATAAATATTTCATAATTATTATACACTTATAAAAAAAATGGATACCTGGATCGCAGCTACTCTCCAAACGTTAGAATTGTTGGAAATACCTACTAAAAGTACTTATTATTTAATTATAGAAGAATTCTATAGTTATATCGGGTTAAATTTTATCATATTGTTTTATTCTCGTATATTATAACTAATACAATTAATACAAATATATGTTAAGTGTTACATAAATATTTGTGCAATTACTTCTTTGTCGTGTGAGTGGTAATAACATAACATCTGGCAGTAAATTCATTGTCGTCTCATAAGCAGAAAACATTTAAATACTGTAATTGGAGCATCATTTGTAAGAAAAGATAAATAATATATAATTCTGTTATGATACCTGAAATGTAATTATACAGATTTTTAATGATTGAAAATGAGTTAATGTAAATTTTAATGTATGTGCTAGTCAAAAGGAGTGAGAAAGTTTGTAAACAACTTAACAGGTAAGAATAAACTGATAATTTTAGAGAAAATAATATTTTGAACTTCACCAAGATTTTATCTACAAAATACAGATGAAACATCAGTTTTTGAGAGGAAGTTGATTTCCTTTCCCAGGCGTACTGTTAATGAGTTGATAATTTAGCACACGGTACGAGAGACCCAATAAAAATGCCGTTGTCGCGCCACTCGCGGCATCAGTCCATTAGAGGAAGGTCTTGCCTTATGTAACATACAATACTTTCGCGGCAATCTGTCAAGGAAGAGGAATTGCCATACCAAGGAAATACGTAAGAAGTTTAGACATACGATATAGGGCAGTCCAATAAAAGGGAAAAGCCATACGAAAAAACCAGCTTGTGATAAGAAACTAACTCAAACGAACTCTTATAAGAATATGAAATACAGAATTAAGTAAGGAAGAGAAGCTTTGAAAAAAGAAAGCATACAAGAGGAAAGATGTTAACGACAGACAGGTGAAGGTAATATTAGAAATAGATTGATGTAAACTTTCTCTCGAAAACACTCTCGTAGAATAAGCATAGGTTTTGTTTTAGTATTAGAGTATTAGATTTTTCTATGAATTTATCTATTTAGTTTTATTAATTATTTGTTCATTTGTTAAGAAATGTTTCTGCATCTTCTGAATCAAACATCATTTGCATGCATCATACGCGTGTTAATCCGCGGGTTATAAAACTGATTAACTGGTGT